GGGGGGCCCGCCCGCAGCCGTCCCGGAGACGCGGGCCGGAGGAGGGGGCCGCCCGCGCCTCCCGCATCGCCCGCCCGGGCGGAGCGGGAGGTCGCTGCTAACAAGTGCAAACTTTTGGGGGCCCCTGGGCAGCCAGGGGAGGACCTGCCCGAGCGCCCCACTCAGCCCCCGGCCTGGGTGGGCTTCGCCGCTGCTGGTCCAGGCGCCTGAGCATCCCCCTGGCGCGGCGCCGGCCAGATGGCAGGGCGCCTCACCGCCCCCCTGCACTCCGCTCCAAGTTAATGCCGAGGCTAAATCCTCTTGCCATCACTCACGGTCACCATCGGGGCTTTTATCTCCCGGTCTGATCCGGGCTGCGTAACTTCCTCTGTGTGGCTTTAACACACCATCCCACCACGGAGCAACGGTCTTCTTAAAGGTGCAGGAAGGAAATACTGAAAGGCTCCGGGGACAAGCCTCGGCCCGGGAAGAGGCGCGGCGAACAGGGGCGTCCCGGTGGGCCCGCGGCCAGGGGTCCCCAGCAAGAGGCCGCCAGAGCGAGCCTGCTGTGGAGGGTCGCTGCCTACACATCTCCTGGCGGCCCGGGGACCAGCTGGTCCCTGCGCTTGGGGTGCATCCTCAGCGGACTCTGGGTCAGGCACAGTGGAGCTGCGGCTCCCTTCTGCCCAACTGTGGGGCCTGAGTCCGTGCCAGCGCCCAGGGGTGTGGGGGCTGCCCCATCGGCACCAGGGAGGGGGCAAGTGAGTCAGCCCCCACCCCCCACTGCCAGTGCTCGAGGCTGCTGGCTCCTCGGTCTCTGTCTCTTTCTCTCCCTGTAAAGCGCTGAACCCAGAAGGCCCTGAACAGTGGGTAAAGGGGTGGGTGGGTGGATTTGGGGAGCTGGGGAGGGGGAGCGCTTGAGCGCACAACCAAAGCCTGAATACCAGCTGACACATCGCCGCCTCCAGCCTGATGGGCCCTGCTTTTGACGGAGAAGGCAAGCCAGCTCTGCAGGGAGCGCAGAGTAGGGGGCAGGAGAGCCCTTGCTAAGGAGCTGACTCCCTGGGGCAGGCCTGGGAGGAGCACGTGGGAGGACTCCCACAGAGGCCGGGCAGAGGCCACTGAGTTGGCTGCGCTAGGGCAGCCCTGTGCTCTCTTCAGCCCGCTGGAGGCTTCCTGCCAGGCGGCCTCCGGAGCTGTCGGAGTGCTTCCTGGTCTTTCCAGGGCTCGTTTGAGGGTCTTTTTTGGTGCTCTTGGCCTCCTTTGGGTGGGTCCTTGCTGCAGTATTCACGGAGATGTCATTTGGATGAATCAAGAACAAAGGGCCCGGAGGGGAGGAGAGAGAGACTGGTCCAAGGTCACAGAGGGTGTCAGAAATAGGAGCAAGGTAGGCTTGTACCTCAGCGCCCCACCCCACTGCCTCCAGCACATCCTCTTTAACCCTTCCCTGCTCCCAGGATCCCCCTAGCTCTTAAAAGAGAGTTAGTTGTTCGGTTGGTTAACATTTAGACTCTTGTGACAAAGCAGGCAGAAGATGCAGAATTAAAGGTTACCATTGGTGATAACAATAACAAACATTTGTGGGACACCTTTCATGTCAGGCTCCAAGCAAAGCAGCGTGTGTGTGTGTGTGTGTGTGTGTGTGTGTGTGTGTGTGTGTGTGTG